TATATATTTAATCCATATGTGAATGCACGTGTAAGGGTATGGAAAGACTTACTTTATTAAATGTGGTCAAGTCGATGTCGGCTACTGAGGCCCATATGGATATTGTTTCTCCAGAATAATCTGTCTTCCTTCCACCTTATTGCTGGTCACCTTTTACTTTTCTCCTTAAATGTGATTTGTCTTTTTAAGTAAGTTAGTTCTTCTCATAATATGTTCAAAATGAGACAACTTCAGTCTAGTAATGTGTGTGTCTAGTGAAAGGTTGGGCTTGATTTGTTGGAGGATTCATTTGTTTGTTTTCTTTGCTGTTCATGGTATTTGTAGAATTCTTGATCAACCTTATCATTCAAAGGCATCATTTTCCTGTCTTGCTTCTTCATTGTCCAGCTTTCATATCCATAGAGAGTGGCAGAAAATGCTCTCTATGGATATGAAAGCACAGTAATAATATTGTGAAAAATATGTGCCACACTAAAACACTATACAATAGATGAATAAATATATAAAAGTGAATAAATGATAAATCAATGTGCAACAAATTTAAATATTAATCCGTGTCTTAAATGAAATACATTCATCAGCCAAGTGCTAATTTCTATGTATAAAGTGATTCTGTTTAAATGTAGAGAACTACTAGTCCACACAATATAAACAGTCCAATATCAATCGTGAGTCCAAATTCAATACAGCAGTGCTGGTTTCTCAAAACCTTCCACCACAAACACCTTTCAAAGTGCCGCTCACCTTCTGTTTAGAGCTCAGCAAGTAGGTCTTATTGCACCTTGCCCCTTTTCATGTACAGGCAGGGAGAATGCCCAAGGATCAGCAGACAGATTAACCAGGAATTGCCTTTTTTTTGTTTTGTTTTTTGTTAGTCCAGTGCCTGTTAATATTTTCCTCCAGATTGTTTACGATGCCGCCTCAGTAAGTCCAGAATGCATATTATAGGCAGAAAATCATGTTTCTCACTCAATAGTGCATACCATTAATAGATAAAAACGCTTTAATGATAAAATTCTACTCGCATAAAATCATGAATTAACACATTTCCAAGCTCCACCCTACGTACGTTGCGTCAATCACGCGACTTCATCAGGGGTGTGGTGCTGGGAAGGCTAGCAGTGTGTTATATGCATCATTATATGATATACTGCTAGCCTTCCCAGCTCTTGTTCCTTTCTCACTTTCTTCTGTTCTTTATATCTTTCCTTGTTCACTCTTGGGCGCCCCCCTCCCCCCAGGGGATCTCCGGTTTTATGACTATGGTTTTGCCCTTTTGCTGGTGCTGCCGACGTAACTGTAGACCAGACTGCGGTATCCAGTCTGTCGTGCGCCGGTGAGCCTTTGGGGCCTTTTTCATTATGGTTTGGTGGGATCAATCAACTGCGGGGGGGCTAAGCTTTCACAACGTTCTGTTCCATGATCGCATGTTAATAATTGAAATAATAAATATTAGTAATAATTGAAAGAGTTTTAAATGTTTTCAAAATGCTCACCACATTTACACTGTACTTTCCATCTTATATTTTGTTTTTCCTATTTTATAGGTTATTTTAGGGGGCAAGAATGTAAATTGTCGTCTGTGTTTGCCCAGGATCCATACCTGTCATTCATTCAGCTCTGCACACTCTCACATTCAGGGCCTAGTGCAGTATTCCACACAGTTCCTTGTAAATAACGCACCTACTATGTATTACAGTGGCGGCGGCGGAGTGCTTTGGGGTGCCATTCAGATAAAAGACATTGTCTAAGGTTTTACTTAATTTAACTCTCTTTCAATAAAGTTCACTTATGGTATACCTTGAAAATTCTAACCTTGAGACACTACAATTGGTCCCGTCTCAAAGTAAACGTACTTGTAAATACTAGCGGGCACTCGTATATGCAGGAAAGAAAATGTAGAAAACAAAAAAGCAAGGTGGCTACAAGACTTGTTTGACATCTTTTAAGAAGACTGGAAGGAATTATTTAATTCTCACTTTATTCTGTGCTAAAAAGCTACTGTTACATGCGGTTTGGAATGAATAATTGTTGCTGGATGCAGGATAGATGTCAATGGCTATCCCAAACTGCAAGTAATTGTACCGTGTACGATTACATGCAGACTGCTGCTGGTGGATGAGGCCTATTGTCACACTGTCATTAACTTGATTGGTACAGTGTCCGCATTTGAACAGGGACACCTCACATTCCTGCTGTATGAATCCATAGGTTGTTGGAGCAGGACTCCCAGAATGCACCGTCTGAATAGGGTCTAAGTACTCTACTTGCCGTGTGTATTTTATTTGTTGAATAAAAGCTATTTTAAAAAAAGTAGGGCATAGACTTGGGCAATTAAAGTATGATATTTGTTTTTGTAAACGCAATGCAGAGTTGATAATGGGGACTTTGATTCCTCCAGTTTTTTACAACTTTTGTTTTTGACAATCTAGGACTTTCAGCTTGATGCCTCCATGGTGTACAGCAAAGTGTGTAAGCAGCTTGTACATCAGCAGAATTACTCGGAAATCTTGCAACTTGTCAAGTGTGTTAGCGAGTCTGGTATTGCAGCGGAAAAGGATTGCGATCAAATATTGCTAAGATGTGTTGAAGAAATGGCAGACTTGTCTTCAGATGTAAGCATTTGTTTAACTTTTTTGTTTACACAGTAAAATGGGGATATTAAAGTGTAAGCTCTTACATTGTTGGTATCTAAGATTTCAGTACATTGTGGTGGGCTCAAGATCTTTCCAGCCTATGACCCTATGGTAGCACAGAAAAATAATATTCACTCCTTTTTATAATCTTACACTCACTTGTTGGGTCATGGCTGAGTTCATGCCTATGGAGAATTCCACAGGAACATTTGATCTTCCTGTTTGATATAAAGCCATATAAGTCTATCATGGCAGAGTTAGGGCTAGACTATTTGTGGGTGACTAATATTTAATACAGGGCTCAAAATTTCAGGTCCTGAGCTACTAGCCAGGCCTTCAAAGTTACTCACCACCAGTTGCCCTGCATAACACAAACAAACACACACAGGGCACAACGCGCACACAGCACAACACACATACAGCCACAGCACAACGCACAGGGCATTACACAGACAGCCAAAGCACAACGCACAGGGCATTACACATACACATTTCATCTTAAATTAATTTTTAGTCTTCGCACATGTCTAATAACATGCATGTTTGGGGGGGCAGTTTTCACTTTCTTAAAATCATTTTTTACATTTTTTTATCATTTTTTTATTATATATTTTTTTAAATTTATTTATTTATTTTTTGTTTACTGTTGGGGGGCTTCGGGGAAATATAAGGGGTCCAAACAGACCCCTCACATTTCCCTTTTAAAATAGAAAAGAAATTGAGGACACCAAATCCTCAATTTCTTTTTCAGCAACTGACAGCTGGGGGTGCGGCTTCTCTCCCCCTCACCGCTCGGCCATCCTGACAGCAGGCAGCACTCCCTCCTGCGAGACGGGGGGGACGGACGGAGGAGGGAGCGATGTCATCATGTCGGTGAGGAGGAGAGAAGCCACCCCGAGGAGGTGCAGGAGTCCCTCCAGGAGTTGAGTGCCTGACTCAATGGCTTTCCACCCGCCCCCACGCAATTTTCACTCGCAAATTGCGAGGGGGCAAGTGGAAATTTTGAGCCCTGATTTAATAACTGTGTCGGCTTCAACATTAACCTAAAAATGACATCAAATGCACCTTTATAAATGTGTAGTAATGGCAATCTGCAAACAGATCATTTAGATAATTGCCGGCTTTTTATTGTTTGCATACCATATTTTTCTTTTTCCTCACCATTCTTCTCACATTGGCCATTTTTAGCGGGGCAGGTGAATCCATCTCCCTTTACTTCCTGGAACTCTGGTTCTGCCTCCTGGAACATGTGACAGTGCACATAATCTGAGGGGGAAAACGCCTTTAGTATAACATACTGTATGTCTGCTGCAAAAATATACCTACTAAACCTATAACAAATGCAAAAAAATAAAATGCATTACTAATGTAAATGCCCAAAGAAGTAAATGGGGAAGTGGGAAAGGGAGAGGGGGGAAAGTAGATGGAGAGAAATCGGGTAAGGGAGAGAAGGGCAAAAAGAGTTGGGGAGGAGGGAAAATGGAAGGGAGGGTAGAGAGGGTAAAAAAAACCCGGAAAAGGGAGCTGAAAGGAAATGAACAGAAAGGGCGGAAAGGAGAGAGTGGAAGGGCAGGTCTCTTTGCTAATTAATTATTTTATTTGCTACCTTTTGGTCTGATAAATGTACCTCTGACAGTGTTTGTTATATCTTCTCAATAACAATAATGCCTGTTGATCGTGTCAGAAATTCAGAGCTGTCCTGTGTCTTGTGCACACTTCCGGTATAATCCTCAAGTCTAATTAGGTCATCAAGTTGTTCTTTTAGGACTGCAGAATCATTAGTCTACATGTTGTAGAGAATAGGATTGGTGGAGGGATTGGGCTGTTTAGCAAAAGAAAACTGGGCAGGGCTGACACCACTCAGTCCACAAAAATGCTGTGTGTTGTCAGCCCAAAACAGTACTTAGGAGGTTACGTGCATTTCTGGCAGATCAACAGGTTTTGTTCCTGTAGATGACTTTCCCAGACTCTTTGACAGCTACTTGGCTAATAAGTATTGTCATTAGCTCTTTGAATATTCAAAAAACCAAGGAAGGGCGCAGAGAACACTGGCTGGTATAGCTCTTTGATCAGACAATGTTGCTTAGAGAATTTACAGGAGTTAGGCCTTATGGTTGTGTTATTATGTTGCACACTGAAAGTGTTTATATTGTAAGCTCTATTAGGTGTGCTGTCATGAAGTGTAGTGGAAACATCAAATTACTATTTTGTCTATTGTCTTTCCACAAAATCACTGACAGTAAGAAATACTGTATCTCCCTTAGCAGGTATTCTTTGTTTTCTGGAAACACTCATGAGATAAAGGGGTGGACAAGTAAAACTATTAACTATTATTCTTCCTGTCCATTTAAAAGTAGATACATTTAACTTCATTAAAGTGGACCTTTCCCCATATCTTTAAAAATAACAGAAACCCCTTTAGAAATGTTTAGTAATGACAATATACAAACACATACTTCTAGATCGTTGCCGGCTTTGTATTCTTTGCATTCTTCTCTTTTCTTCCCCAGTCTTCTGACAGTGGCCATGTTTACTAAGGGCAGATTACTAGCTCTTCGTTTACTTTCTGGCACATGTGACTAGGACATGTGACCATGCACATCATCTCAGGGAAAGAAAATGCCTTTCCCTGAGATCTCATGAGAATACAGATGAGATTTCCCAGCAATGCTCTGCTGATGACAAGGCAATCCCAGTGTGCATTGCTTTGGCATACTGAAGTCATTTTGCATCTTTTAAAGCAGGAAGTGAATGCTCTGCAAGTGTAAGTATTTCATAATCACAGCATTTTACACCTGACATGTCTATGTTATTATAAATCATCATACATACAGGGTTGCATTGGTAGAATTAGATTTTTGAGTGTAAAGGTTTGCTTTAAGGGTGCTTACATGAAAAGTTACTGATTAGTAATATTTAGAGGTTTTTTTTCTCAATATGCCCAACGATAATTGGGAACAGACAACCATTTTTTTAAAAGAAGGAATTGTTACCTTTATTTCATCTGTGCATCTCTGTACTTTTGTTTCAGGAACTTGAGAAGTTAATCCAAGGAATGAAAAGCGATGAAGCCAAGGTACACTGGCATAACATATGTATATACAGTACACTATATTTCTATATATCTTCTATAATTCTTGTAGATGAATGCGGTTAGGTAATTATTAAATATACTTAAAAACGAAGGCTTGTTTATTCCTGCGGTTGTTTAAATAGTTGAAAAATTTGTCTAACCAATCTACCTGCTTTACATTTTGTAAGGCTAAGGCTACGTGTTTAGCTGGTGTTAAGCCAGTCTTTATCTGCACATATAGAGTGTATCTTTTTTATAGGGGCTGAGGCTCAGAATATAATGAGCACCCCACACGGGGTGATGGACTTTGCTGCAGAATAGCTCAGGAGGTTGAGGTCCTCGGAAACGACCGTGCAGATAGCAGCTGACCTAGAAGGAACCAGAGCGTAGTACCGCATCGATTAGTTTCAGAAGTGGGGATAGGCTAAAGGTCAGCACAGGGAGTGAACAAGCAAAGTAAGATGCAAAGCCGAGGTCAATAGCCGGGGAGACAGGAACTTTGGAACATGGGAATACAGAAGGGTCACCGAGTGATACGGGAAGTACTGGGGTCCCTAGGTGATATGTGATGCCCAGGGGTTACTGGGTCATACAGGAGTTACTGAAGACACTGGAGGCATCGATTCACTACTAGAGGCAACAGGGATCACAGAGTCTTTGAAGACACTGGGGTCATGGGTGTGCACAGGGATCTTAGAGTCACAGGGGTGCAGGGATCGTTGTAGACACTTAGGTCACAAAGTCGCTGAAGGCACAGGGTCGCAGGCATCACTGGAGGCAGAGGAGTGCAATAGGCTCTGAAACTCTGGGACATTGGAATGCAACTACAAGTACCTGGAACTAGGAAATTAATCTATTGCTCAAGCAACGAATGTTGTCTGTGCACAGCTTACATAAAGAGGTAGATTTATCTATTGCACCTTGCCAGTCCTCAGCTGTAGTGGCTGAATTATTTCTTTTCTTTGGGGCTTTTTTCTTTTGCTTTCTGTTGTTGATCCTGCAATTAACATATTTCATGTCCTTTCATGTCTATGGTTTTTTTCTCCACTATATCTGTCACCATAGTTGTTACAGGGTGCATGCCAAACATGTCTGTTTTTAGTCATCTCCATTATATGGTGTATTGTTAGTTTGGGAGTTTATTTTAGCTCACAGGCGGTGACAAGAACACTGGGGTGAATTTATCAAAATCTGGAGCAGATTTGCACTGCAAACAATCAGCTTCTATCTCTCATTTTGAAATCTTGCCTGAGCAAACTGAGGAGAGAAGCTGATTGATTGCCACGGGCAACTGCTCCAGATTCTACCTGCTCCAGTTTTGATAAATTGCCCTCATTGTATTTCTAGCAAGATCAACAGGTATTTTTGCTCAAAATCTCCCAAGCCTGAAAAATGAAAACTAATGAATCCATTAGATCTAAGGACTGGTAATCTGTGCTGATTTACATGTTTGCTTTTGGTTAAGATACACTTTACCTTTACTAATTGAACATTCTCTCCTCCTTTAGTAACTCAGCTATAATGTACATAGACTAGTAATGTGTATTGTATTCCTAGCACACTGTAGTCATAGTAAGCTAAAGAGCTTGATTTATTATATAAATCTGCCTGTAATTGTTCAAGTAGTTTTACTTGTTTCTCTTTAATAGATCAAGGCATTCTTGGCCTGTCGTATGATGAGATCTGCCTACTTAACTGCAGTCAAACAAGAACAGGAAAAAGCTATCCAGCTGGTACAGGAGGTTTGGCAAGTGGCACACAAGTTGAATGACAGTGTGGTCCAAGGAATCTGTTCCAAGTGGCTAGATGAACACCCTCCACTTTCAAAGGAAGGACAGTATCCCACATCTCGTAAATAAAAGTGGTAATTTAGAAGAACTGAAGTGGGTTTTTTTTTTTATTCCACTTTGCCGCAATGATCAAGATTTGTCACTACTCACTACTGACTATGGAAATTGTCAGAGTCTGTAATAATGGAATGAATGGAATTTGGTTTTTTTCGTGTATGTTAGGGTTCATTCACACCACGTGCATAGACCTGCGTTTTTCTGCACATATACAATGCAGGTCTCTGGAAGGGCACACAGTTGTTTTCTATGTGTCTTGTTCACACCAAAATGCTGCTGTAATGTGTGGAGCTGCGCAGGATTATGCAGCATGGCTGCATTTTTCCACACAGCTTGGCATATGAGTTGAGGTAAAACACACATAAACACTTTGCACATGCGAGGGCGGATTATCATTTCGGGCGCCTCTAGGCACGAATGTAAATCTGTTTGGCCTGAGCCGGCACCCTTACCTGCTGTGGGACCCACCAGTTTTCACATATGCAGAGAAGGACCCTGGTGTCACATAAGGCTGCCCTAAATGCCTGTCCTTATCAGACAGACATTTTACAGGGCAGCCTTATGCAGTGAGGGGGTCCTTCCCCTTTGTTTATGGATCCCGGCAGTTCCTATAGGCACTGCTGGTCTTGGAGCAAGTTAAACAAACGGCAATAGCATGGAGGGTGCATGCTGCACAAAATGCACCCTCCTTGCTATTGCTGGTGTTTTTATCTTGACACAACACCGGGAATTAGGCAGAGTAACTACTACTCTATGGAGGGCATCTGTAGGCACATGCCTAATGGTAATTCCGGCCCTGTGCATATGTAGAAAAAACAAATCCTGTCCAGTATTTTGATCCTCCCCTGCCCATATCTATCTGTTACAGAACGTGTAGTGTTTTTTTTTTAGAGGAGCGTGTTTGATGTGAACATGCACATAAACAAAGGCACAAACTGATGTCATCGTGCATAAAAACTCACTGAAACACGCAAGTAAATTCGTGTCTCTGCAAGTCAAATCTGTTTTTTGACAGTTTTTATGCAGGGATGTTGTGAAAGAGCCCTTATGCTTAATGAACTAAAACTTACTGTTTTGCTCATTTCTACTCTAGAAGCTATGGTTTCCCATTTGGAAACTTGAACAACTTTCAGAGGTCTAACAGTTTGATTTATTTGAAAATATGTAAACTTTCAGTAGGAAAAGTGTGTATTTTTCTCTCATGAGAAAGATGTTTTAACTAATCAAATTGCAGTTTATGCTGTTGTTTTTTTGTTTGTTTGTTTGTTTGTTTTTTGTACTGCTCTTTATAAAACCAGTGACTTAAAAAATTTCTATCTCAGGGTATCCATAAATTCCAGCTTTTATACTGACCTTTTATATTGTTTGTGTAAGGTACAGTTTATGTGAATTTATGCATTTTGTTTTTGATGATATACTTTTTATCGAGAGGAATACAAACATCATGTTTTCTATGTTTACCACCTATTAAAAAAGAAAAAAAAGCAAGGAAAAGGTTTGCCAGAAGTAAAACAGGTCCAACTACAATAACAAATGTGAACAACATTAATACAGACAAAGAGTGTGACTGAAAGGTGATTATTAGTCAGGATACAGTCTAACGGAAGAGTTGTCTTATCAGGTATACATAAGGCCTTCTATCTCAATGAACACCCCTAGCAGGGAGGTGTTTTTCCTTGTAGGGGAGAGGAAGATACAAATCAAATTTTTATATTCAAAAAAAGCTTGCATATTGTACTTTGTGTTCATGTATGAAAACGTCTCTATATACAAGTGTTGCAGCGGTTTACTATTTGTATGAAACAATTGCACTATATAAATAAAGGTATTTGAAAATTCCCAATGTCTTTGTCTGTTTATGGGCTTTACGTTCTTGAGAGTCATAGTTTAGGATTTTAACTTTGCAAAAGGAATTACGCGTAGTTTTATCAAGATCAAGCATAAGAATTAAGGTGGAGTGATCAGATAGCAGTATAATAGATATTGGTCACATAGGAGAGGGTAGCTTTGTTAGCGAAGGCTAGGTCTATCCTGGAAATGGTCATTTGCATTTTAGGTAGACATGAATATTGATGTCTCCTGTGATGCTGCAACTTCAGGATGTCCTGCAGTAACTTTCCCAAGAGTACTAAGGCTAAAGGGAATGTCTTTATAAATAAGCACTCTTACTTTTCACAAGTAAGTAGTGTGGAAAGAACAAAAGGAATGGCAATATTGCCTCTTTTTATAGGAGAACTATAAGGTAAGTGTTTTTCCCCATAGTTCTCCTCAGGGTCACGGGAGGACATAAACTAGCATCCTCCCGTGACCCAAAGCTCAGTATACCGCGAGCTACAGCTGGCGGTATAATGAGATCGCCACAGCCGGGACGGATCCCGACATTACTGTCGAGATTCACCCAGCTGCGTGATTGGCAGCTGGCTCTGTCTATCTAGAGGCAGAGCCAGCTTTACCCTCCCCCGTTCGCTCCTCCAGTCAGTGCTGGAGGATCGGGGGGGGGAATCCCTGCAGGTAGCCGTGAGTGGCACTCACAGCTCTCTGCAGGGACAGGTTCGAGAAGTGAGCGAGCGACGGTATGTGTTCGCTCACTTCCCGATCTAATGAGCCGACCTGTGACAGTCTCAATGTCACACGTCGGCTTGAACTATGAGGTTGACTGAAAATCACTCACCTCATAATTCTCCTTTTTAAGAAAGTCCGTATGCTCCTTAGTGAGATGTGTCTCCTAAACACAGACTATAGATAGTATATATCTTGCCAGGGTACATTGGCACTCTTGCCATGTCTATTTCAATCAAAGTGTCTATTTAAACTTAAGTGTCAGGGCACCTAGAGAAGACCACAGATCACAACTTCATCTTCATATCATCCTTTCTCTTGTTACTCACATGTACATGGATTTAACCTTGCCTTTCCTGTCTCAAGAAGGCAATTAGAGCAAGTCAGAAATATATGAACACTGCTCCTGACAGACTACAGGGTAACCTGTTTCCCCCACATCCAGCTCTTCCCCTTCCTAATCTGATTATTCTCTCCAACCCTTAATGTGCTTTCTCTACCTTTTCTTACCTTCTCTTCTTAAACCTGCGTTCCTTTACGTCTCTTCTCCATAGATTATATATTTCACCTTCTCTCCTGCTCCCTCTCTTTTAATGCACTTGCCACCTCCTGCTCATTCTGAACCCACATGCTGGGATAGGACAGGGCATGTGCACTTATATAAAGCTCACTTCTATTTCACTTCCCTCACTTCTCCCAATCCTGGCCCTCAGTTAGCCAATATTCACACCAGCACCTTTTTTCCTCTGCAAGCAGCCACAATGGACATAATCTAATTCTATTGCCCTGCTGCCAAGAACTAGCCCCCTCCCTTCTCATGTGCCTTCTGGAAATGCCCGCTCTGCCTGTAACAAGCTCGCCACTGTCCATGATCCTCTTATCACCAACTCCTTTAACATGCTTGCTGTTACTGAAAACCTGGTTTCAGGAATCTGCTTCCCTGCACTCACTCACCCAGACCCAGTGGACGAAAAGGAGGTGGACTTGGAATCTTTCTATTCACACTAAGGTCTTTTCAAGTTTTCTGCCTTCACTTCCCTCTCTATACCTCTACTACCCTCTCTACCCTATTTTCTCTCCTCTGAAATACCCACTATCACTCTTGGTGACTTTAACATTACTATTAAAGCTAACACCCCAGCTATCACTACAACTTCTCAACCTAACCTATTCTTTTGACATAACACAATGAACACTCTCCTACTCACTCTGATGGCAATATACTAGACTATACTCCCACCTCTGCACTTCTTGCAACCTCTCCAACACTCATTTTCCTCTCTATGTCCGCAACTGTGTCATTTTCACACTCACCCTGTCCCCAACTCCAAATCCTCCCCCCTGCCAGCAAACTGTTACCCGGGGCAACCTTTACCATTTTATCCCATCTCTACTCTGCTACTGATTACCTTTATAACAAAATCTCCCTCCTCTTCTGCCCTGACCTGGCCATTTCTGTCTATAACAGTTCGATCTTATCCTCCCTAAATACACTTACTCCTCTCACTACACGCAGACGTAGGCTGCATCCACTACAACCTTGGCAAACAAAGGATACCAGAAATCTTAAAAGACATAGCCTCGCTCTTGAACTAACGTGGCGTAAAGCTAGGTACCTGCTGTATAAAGCTGCCCTCCTAAAATATAATTCTTTCCTCTGTGCTGTCAAACAGACTTATTTAATCACTCTCATCCATTCCTTGTAATCTCTTATCTACCTTTACATCTCTACTTTGTCCACCACCGCCTTCACCCACTAATTCATTCACTGCCCACGACATTGGTGTTTATTTAAAAATTAAGATACATGCAATTCATGATTAGATTTCCAGTCAATGTATCTTCTCCAATTAACATATCATGTCCACCAACACATTTAACACTTTCCTCTTTCAGCCCTGTCCCTACAGAGGAGGTTGCAAAGCTTGTCTCTGACACCCACTGTACCACCTACATCCTGGACTCTGTTCCCTCACCTCTACACCGGTCACCCTCTTGCTCTTTCCTACACTCTCTTACTCACATCTTCAATCTTTCCCTCTCTACTAACATCTTTCGCTCGCCATTAAAATATACACTGGTCACCCCCATACTTAAAAAACCCTCACTGGACCCCGCCAACCCATACAGTCTCAAACGAATCTCCTTGCTCCCTTTTACCTCCAAACTCCTAGAACAGTGAGCTGCCACCTGACTAGTAATAACCTTCTCGACCCCTTACAGCATGGCTTTTGCCCACAACACTCAGCTGAAGCTGCCCCCCTAAACTCACTAATTACTCACTGACAACTAAAAACAACGGCCACTATTCCTTACTCTTGCCAATAGGCCTTTCTGCTGCTTTTGACAAAAGTGACCATCCGTTCCCCGTCAAAAAACTCCACTCCCTTGACTCTAGGACTCTGCTTTCTCATGGTTCTCCTCCAACCTATCTAAGCGCTCCTATAGTGTGTGTGTTACAGAACACTATATACAGTAAAATAGTAACTATCAAGCAACCACCGCCGCAGCCCCATTAACC